CGCTCTATATAATCCCAATTCAACGAGTCGAACATGCCAACTTTCTTGGGGGGAATGTTCAATTGCTGCGTTATATAGATCGGGCGCGGAGAGTTCGAGAAGGAGCTTTGGCAATATTCAAATTAGGTTGCAAAAATAAGCATATATACGTACGAGAAACTACGGCACTGAATTACCCAGTTTTAGTCACTATATTTTCGCTGTATATACATACGGGGGGCCGGGGATACGTATATATATATGGGGAAAGCGTGAAACACAAGCCTAATCTCTGCGAAGACACATGGGCTTTGAGACCGCTCGCCGCCTTTGCCTCTCTCTCGAGTGCGCGCCCGAAAATTTCGCCCAAAGACCAGTCGCCCCGGACAAACTTTAATCCTTATACGCGGCTATATAGCGTTGCAACTTTGGACTGTACGGCAAAGTATGGATTTATATACTGTCTCCTCTCTACGCAAAGCGTTTCGCTATACTTTTAGTTGAACCAAAAAATAAAGTAGTGGAAAAGAAAAAAGAAGCGCATAACGTCCACATTATGCAGCCTGCAATGCGAAAATTAAAAGAAGGAAGTGCAAAGTCGAATCGACGTGCGGAACTGGCAAAGTTTCACTTCGGCCCCCGCGAGTACGTTAACATTGCGTGTACGATATTCAGATGCGTTGTATGCGCGCGGCAAAATGACGTTTAATTTGTTTTATCGATCTGCCACGAGTAAAAAGCTTGCGACGTATCTCTGCGAGCGAAAGAAACTTTTGGCACGATACTCCTTGTCCTCGTAAAGCTTTTCGGGAATTCTCGCAGTCGTATACACGCACACACGAATGTATATAGTGCCTATACACGGTTCGTCCGCGTTTCTCTTTGCTCGTCTCCGCGCACGTTTTTGAAGCCATTGATGCTTTCGTTTCGACGTCTCGACACTATACTGCGCTGCTGTTGCTGCTACTGCACGACACTACTCCCATGGTTTACATTATTTAATAGCCTACTACCATCCTCGCTCACAGCGGCTTGACGCTCTGTGTGACGTTGTCTCTCTTTTTTTTTTCATTTTTTTTTCTTTTTTTTTTCCTCTTTTTTCACCTCTTAACCTCCTCTCACTTTTTCTTCCCGTCTCTCGTTTCCCTCGTTTCCCTCGTTTCTCTGTCTCTCTTTCTTCAGACTAGCTCATCTCTCTTTGGAGCAGCATAGACGATGTCAGTAGCTTAACAGCGGCAGCAGTATATAACTCTTAACACTTTTAACGCGCGACATGTAACAATATTACATGGTGTGAGCGAGCCATGTATAATATACACGTGGGCATGAATTTTCTACGACTCGGCGCAATTTGCAGCTTTTTAAGTTGCTTTAATTTTCCTACCCAATGCAAGCGCGCGTGTACTCGCTTTTTAAAAAACTCCTCTATGCGTGAATACATACATACGTATATGGCAGCTGTATATATTTTAGAGTGTGCGCGATACAAGCTAGTATACGGTAAAACAAGTGGAATATCTTTATTGCGTATATGCATACACCCCCGGCTCGTTTTATGCACTATATGTAAGTTAATTTTCGAGTTTTTGTAATACATTATTTTTCCGCGCACATCACGTACGCGTGGGGTACCGTACTCGCCGACTTGATTGCAATCGAGTGCAAGAAACTCGTTTGTCGCGGGGAAAAAGTACGAACGAGCGACTATCGCATTCGCAGCTGGAATGAATTCACAATTTGAAAGCATAGACGATCTCGGAGCACACAAAAAATCCTACAACCTATTAAAAAAAATTGTTTTTCTCGTTTGTGCGCTCTTACGTGCGCGTTATTATTATAAAGTAAAAAACATACTCGTTGCGCGTTCCTTCGATAATTGCATAATTGAGCCGCTCTCTCGGTGTGTAGCCCGTGTCGATTTTTTTTTTGAAATGAACGAGAAAGAGAGGGAGAGGGTAAAAAAGCTTTCAACTTTGGAAAAAGCCTACTCGCACTCGCTGAGTTCATGCGCATGGGAGAAAAACAAACATTTTCCGTCGTATACAAGAGGCACGCGGCATTGTGGGCTAGACTCTGCACACACGCACATACACACACACACACACGCACGCTTGAAGTCTTTGGAAACTCTCAGTCATTTTTTATCGATGGAGAGAGAGAGAGAGAGAAAGAAAGAGGAGAAAAAAGCAGCTAAAAAAAGTACACAAACTGCAGATACCATTATTAGAAGGCAAGAGAAAAAAAAGTTGCAACACACTCCCTCGGCCGCTCGCGTGTGTACGTAGATCTCGACCCGGTGTACATAAGGATAGTAAAAAGTCGGACTATGTATATGCGCGCAGACCCGTGCGGCACATGTGTAGTACGCTCACACGATAGCGAGTAGTGCGGCACGTATGGGATATACGCGTCATTGAACGAGATTGGCGCAGGTATAATATAAGCTTTGCTGCGGTGTACGTATCGGCAAAGCTCGATATCTCTGCATTAAAGCATGTTATGTTTTGCTCTCTCTCGTGCACGCCGCATACATACACAGCCATGTGTACAGGCAACGGCAGCGACGTTATGAACGTGCGGTGTATGTGTGTATGTGTATACGGTATATATGTAGCAGTGGCCCATTGCCTCGACGATCATTCGCGGTAGTGGTGTGCTTATGCTCCTGTCGCGGTTAATCCTTTTCTACCGAGCTACTATAAGCCCGTGCGTGTAGGTCCGCACTCCTGTACTTGTGCGTGTGTGTGTGTAGCATACTACTATAGACTTCTGATGGGTTAATAATGCTTGTTAGGGCGGCTCTTGCCATACGCATATTTACGAGTGCGCGCGCGCTTAGCCCGGCGTCGTTCTAGATTTTCCCAGGGCGGCCGAACGCGCCGCGCGCGCGAGGAGCTATTGCCCCCGTAGCTGAGAGCTTCGCCGAATGGGGAAATTTTATTTGCTTCACTTTCGATTCCGTATAAGAGTGTATTATACTTTAGCTACCATACGCGTACGCGTATAAAAATACGCTCGAGAGTACTACGGAGATTCCTTGGGTAAAAAAATTTTCTTTGCGCTTTTTTAACGGTGTATCGTATTATAAGAAAACCGCGACAAAATCCGATGACCGAGGCAAAGCATACTCGAGGCAAGAAAAAAATAAATATAATCAACGGAGCTGCTGCGCGCGAGTCCTTGGCAGACTTTTTTTCTCCATCCAACCTGATATGCAACCACCGGCTTGATTTTTTCCTGTTGTTTTTTTTTACCTTGTTTTAATTACAAGAGCATCGAAAAAATGCGCTCGCGCGCGAGCCCAGCGTGACGCGAAGATTATCGCTAATTTACAAAAGCCGAGGCCGGCTCGATCGCTGTAATATACGCGCGGCAGCAGCAGTTTTATTTCTTTCCTTTTTTCTTGCCCTCAAATCCGAAAGATGCCGAACATTTTTTACGCATACATCCGTATCATCGTCGTCACGCTGTACGTGTATATCCTGCGGTTTTCACGATGTTAGCTATATATGCTATGTAATAAACTCCGGATTTTTTTCCTCCATCGATCGGCCTTCTAAGTATTATTAATTTCTTGTTTAAAAATAAAAAAAAAGAAGCAAAATAATCAAGTCACTCGTGTATATAATAGAAAAATCTTAAACTAGTCCTTAGGCAGCAGAAATTTGCCGTCGTAATCGAGGCACTTATATACGTACACACACACACAGACTCGCATTTAAGGTAAAAGTAAGAATCGCTAGGTCAGCAGCAGCAGCGGCAGCTCGTCGCAGTATCGTCGTTGGTTTATCGCCAGGCGCTCGCTCGCGCGAGGTAAAAGCTCTCGTACTCGGATCGTTCAACTGTAACTCGAAATATACCCTCGAAATATACGTATATATACCCTCGGCCAAAGAGAGCTTGCACCTAGTTATAATATATACGTTATGTATTTTCGCTATACACAGCAGCTTGAAAGTTTCTCGTCGTCGTCGTCGTCGTCGTCGTCGTCGTAGCCGACGCTCGAGAGGCGAAGTAATAACAATGCGGTCATCGTCCAATGACTCTACCGCCGATGGCGCACACCTTCCGAGAAACTTACGTATATCTATACGACGGTATATAGAAGCAGCGCGCGGCTCAACACGTGTATACGTGTGCAACGTTAATAATGGTCGAGTACTAATTGACCAAGTTTTCCACGATGAAAAGTTATTTAATCAAATACGAAAGTAATTTTTATCAATTAGTCGCAGAAAATTCATATCCCTTTTTTTTAATCCGACGCAGCGATGACACGTGTCGACGGATACGTCCAGCTTCGAACTTCGCTACCCGTCCGCTATCGAATGCATAATATCTATGGGTGGTTGTAAAAAAAAACTGCTCATTTCAAATACTTTTTTCATTTCCAGTTCGATTGACGTGCTATGTAGTGTATACTCGCGTATTTTAACCTTTAGGTTGATAATTTGTCATTTATAATTTTTTTGTATAGAAACCAATAATTAAACGTAAATTTTTTATAACAGCAAATATTAAAATTCGAGTAAACCATACTGGACTTTATTTTTGGTAGTTGAATGCGTTCATAAGAGTATTATAGAAATTATTCATGGAAATTTCTCACATCTCCAATTGGCAGTTAATGTCAATACCACCCCAGAATCTGCGCCAACTCTCGATTTGATACACGAATTACCGTGTAATCTTTTAGTTGAATTGTCACTACAGAGCTTTTTTCGAACATTTAGCATGTTTAATCTTCTATTTATATAATAATTAGTTCTAGGGCAGTTTAGAGAAGTCAAGGCATAATTTTGGATCTAGAGACTCGATTAAAAGGATAATTTATCGTCACAGTGAAAAGAAGAATGTAATGAAAGGTTTACAGATGAATGGTAATTTGAAAATCAGTTTCTCAGTGACAATAAAACAAATCAATTGAAAAACAAAAGGCGTTATTATTATGTAATATATAATATGTACATCTATTTAAAAATAATGTGAAAAGGTTTTTCGTAGTAATAAAAAAATTAATATCAGCTCAAAAAACTCACACTTTCTTTTTTTCACAAAATAGAAAAAATTATTTCGGAAAATTTTCAATATAATTTACCGTAACAATACTCATGGAAATGCGAATTCACGTACTTAATTCATTCAACTTCAGTCACATTTGATAAGTTATCCGACGATGTATAACACGCATGTGAATTTTGAGTATATTATGATATCTAAATGATTCGTGACAAATAACACATTCAAAAGGTTTCCTACGATCATGTTCCTTTATGATGGGCGTTTTAAATAGACTCTGGTATCCAAATGATTTGTGACTAATGTCACTTTCAAAGGGTTTGTTACCATCATGTACTGCTTTCAAGTGACTTTTGAAGGATTGTTTGAATTTGAATGATTTGTGACAAATATTACAGTAGAAGGATTTGCTCCATATGTGTACTCCATTTATGTGAGTTTTGAGATCACCTTTTCGTCTAAATGATTTGTGACAAATCTCACATTCGAAAGGTTTGTAACCTTCATGTACCAATTGAACGTGAACATTTAGGGTTCCCTTGAGACTATAACATTCGTGACAAATATCACATTGGTAGGATTTGCTATGATGATGTACTGCATCGACGTAACGATTGAGATGCACTTTTTGTCCAAATGATTCAAGACCAATGTCACACTTATTTGAATCATGTACAGTATTTTTTTTGTGTTCTTCTAAGTTTTTCTGGTATCCAGATACATTTTCATTCGTGTCATTGGTCTGATTTCCGTTTTCTATTTTTACAATTATTTGCTCTCTCAACCTCTCTTGTAACGCCAGAGCCTCATTCGCATTTTTTGTCTAAAATCAACACTGTAGGTTAGTTTCTAATGATTGATCAACAGAGCACGATTTAAATAGTTGAACTCACCGATAATTTACGAAACGGCAATATTTCACAGTTTTCGGCTTTGCGGGAGTTCACCAAATCACATACATAACGGTCCCCTGCACTTTGCCAAACATAGTTCGGTTTTTCCTTCACTCTAAACAAAAACCGACTTTTTTAGGAATCGCTCGAAAAATGAGCATAGTAGTATAATACAAATATTTTTACCTAACTTCCTCGCTGCTGATATCCATTGCTTCCTTAATTATATGTATTCACTACACTGTAATTATTCGCGATCTACGCAGAGAAAATATTCGATGTTATTGAACGTCTCTAATAACTGACACTGCCGCTCCAAACATAGACTTATATTCAATTACAAAAATAATTTGTAAACACTTGTTCGTTTTGGAACTATGTTTCACCCTTGCGAGTGAACACATCAAAAGTGTACATATTAGTGAGAGGATCTGACAACTGTTGACAGCTACACGGCGAAAACTTCCCCCTCTTTCATACGCAATGTCTCAATCATACCCCCGTACGCAATTATTAGGTACGTTAAGTTTGGTCCTTTATATCCCTTTGTACATTCTGCCGATGGATTTTGGAAAAAAATCCTTTAGGAGTCGCGATTTAAAACGACGATAGGGTAAGAAAACAAATTAATATGAACTGAGAAATCTAAATTATGAATTCTACATAGGTACTTTTACATAACATCTATGTTGTATCACATCACATTTAGTTTTTTTAATGAAATAATGAACGAAAAGAATTTAATTTTATCCTAAAATTAAAACATTTTGATTGAAAATTGACATTTTAATAATAATTAAGTTTTTGCGTTGATTGCTAAAAAAGTGTATGAAAATTCAATCATAATTAAATCCAGCCTCCACCACTAGATGGCGAGCACCTTTATCTGTAAATCTGCAAGCGGAAAATTAAAAATAATTATATAAATCCAAGCACGCTGTATGAAAAATTGTTATAATAGTATACCCAACATAGCCCGACCGGAAAATATCGGGTATCCACAGGCTCCTAAATAGTATTCAATGAGGTGAACATTCTCTGAAAAAATTCCATCGTGTTACCCAGAGTTTGCTTGAAGTCGTGGCCGTAATTATATAATTCTTGCTGCAAATGCGAAATTTTCTTGACCTTATCCAATTTTCGGCTCTATCCCGAACGAAATCTTACCGTAATAACCCAACGCGCTTTTACTTAAGAACATGCTACTATGACAAACAAAGTGATGTTAATTATAGTATTACATCATATATGTGTCTGATCCATTTTCTTCGGACAGCACTTATCTGCAGTAATATAACAACGATACATACACGAATGTGTGCAATAACAGAATGTGAAGCTAATAATTTGAACAAGTAATTTCGGCAAAATATCATCTGTAATAGCGTCAAGAATCAGTCTGGGATAGTGACAAGAACTATCCGACTCCAGCCGCAAGCTCGAGCAAATTCGTGGTAATATGATTAAATTTTCTATCGCTATATATACGTACAAATGAATCCGCACGTGCCTCTGACATACACAATATATACAACGTCGAAGCTCGAGGATATTCCGGCACGATGTAGCTCGTTGTTTTCGAGTGCATTTTATGTGTACACGCCATAAGCTATCGCGCGTTTACGATTGGAACGTCCAAGACACGCGTGAGCCGAATATCGCAGGCAAATTCGATGTTGTGTCACGGACACGCGTTTAAGTTCATAAGCGCTCGTATAATCTCGTTTCGCAAAACTAGTGTATGGTATAATACGATACGGAAAATTAAGCCAATGTGACCGTATAGCGCGCAAGAAGATCTTTGGTGGCTTGCTTGGCTATATAGCTCGTCGGAGTCGAATAATATGTGGCTCGCGAAAATTAAATTACGCGCGAGACCGAGCGTGCGATACGTCTGTGTGCGTGTGCGTATGTATGCTATGCGTGAATATGTACTGTACGAGTACATAGCAAGCTCGATTCGCACGTACTATAGCGGCAGCGTGAGAGCGAAATATTTTGTACGATTTCAAGTCTACTTTTTACTCGAACGCTCGACTTTATGTATAAAGGCTGCCGACAAAAAGTACTCTCTTCCGAATTACATGTTGCTACATGCGTATCCTGTGCATAAAACAAGGCTCAATGAAGTCGCATTACCCTCCCAAATCTAGAGAATAAAAGCTCGTTCTACTTTACCTCCTTCCTCTCTCTTACGGTGGCATTTTTATCACACTAGTTATGAAATACTCACCCACACCCGGTCAAAAGCGAAGAAAAAGAGGCTCACACAGATACGCACACATAAGCTATTTTTTCACGAGATTATCCTGGACGAATGTTCGAGCGAGACGTAGCGGTAGCGCCGAGCTTTAATATTCGCGTAATATTTATAACTAGCGGCTTGCGCGTGGCCAAGCGTTGGCGTAAGACCGACTTAATTGATGATCCTTACGTTAATATTCCGCAGCTCGGCTGATTATGCGATATTAAAACACACACCACTTCGTCGTCGCTCCTATTCTTTCCGTTTTTTGTACTATCAACAACTTCGCGCGGTAGGAAGCGCGCGAGATTTTTTACGCACATATTCCGAGATCGCGCGTACATATAAATCGAAGGAGCTGCGAGGCTAATTTAATGTGTCGCTGGGGCGCGCATCTTTACGCAGGCAAACAACTTAAAGTCGACGAGTCGCTGCCACCACTGCCACCGCCGCTGCTGCTGCGTTGCATACAGAAAAGAGGACAGTCGTATAGTAGCTATCTCGGCTGCGTACTCACCGTAAATCATCCTAACGCGGCACTTATCTTGCTCGAAATGAAATGCACCGCCGAACAATAAATTCCGTCTTGTCCTCCCTGACACTCCTCTTTCTTTTCGTTGTATGCAGTAGCAGCGACGGCGGCAGCAGGAGCAGCTCGCATAGGAAAAATCGACCTTCTCTCTCGCTAGCGTCTCGCTCTTTCTTTTTTAGCAAGCTCAAAAACATACTGCAGCGAAATTTCTCGTTGGTCAAATCTATATAATAGAAAAGAGGAGTCGAGGAAAAAAAAACTCACGAACGAATGATCTGTACACTGCGGATAATATACGAAGAAGTATATACGCTCGGCTGCGACTTTTTCTGGGTACCCGAGCTTGTGCGTCGAGAGAGAGAGAGAGAGAGAGAGAGACGACTCTTTGTTTAATACAATTAGAACGATGTAGTTGTTGTAAAACGACGACAGCGATGACAACGACGACGCAACCCAGCTTAGCTCGACTTATATATTTAATTTTTTTGCTCTTGTAACGAGCTTTAATGAGACAGCGTATAATTTCGACTTATTCGTTAGCTTTTTTATCTCCTTTATTTCATCGTGTCTTGTATGTATTTCATACATACGCGCAAGCTTGTCACGGTAACTAACGAACGGAATTAGCTCTTTTTTGCTGCCTCGCTCTCCGATCGCTCTATCTTGCAACTTTTATTGTATTCTTTTTTTTCCGTCCAAGAAAAACGAGAAAATCAGCTATTAGTTCGGTCTGGACGAATGGAAAAAAATAATATCGTTCATAGCTTGATTAGATCTTTGAGACTGGCCTAAATTATTCAATGGAGCATCAAATCGCCTCGAGTTGGTCCAAATCTCTGCTTCGTCGCTTTATATACGTGTGTACGTTCACTCGTAATGTACAATGTCTGACTTGAAAACGGGTGGTACATCGTCGAGGCCGCCTCGTTGACGTGGAAAATCTGCCTGTGCATAGAGTATACATGACGCGTGTACGGACAAGCAGCTCCGTAGCACTGGTACATCGCTGAGCAGTTTCCAAACTGTCGCACGTAAACGCACCCTAGCTACAGCCACATATAGCACGAGAAAGAGAGAGAGGGACGGAGAGGGCGAATCTAATTACCACATTCAAAGCATTCAAATTTGAGGAAATACGTAATTCGCGCGTATATATACACATACACGCACGTCTATAGCAACTAGATACAGAGGAGCGGTGTACCTCGTGGATGGTCGTTATCCACGGTCGGGTCTACTACTTGGAAATTTACGCGCGCAGAGAGACATCACAGGCGTGCGAGAGTGAGAGAATTTGATGATAACGTCGGGTCAAACTTTGTCCTAGTCTGGGACGCGCGCAACTCGTGTAATCAAAGTCCGTCAACGCTGGCTTCTAAGTCAATACAAGCTGTAAACCGGTACACAACGTGAACACGCGCGCTCCCAACCACGTACATATATCTATATATTTATGACGTCCGCACTGACGTTGGCTTCCTCTCGCTCTCGAGTGCACTTGCCCTCGTCCCTGCGCTCTCTTTCTCTCTTTCTCTATCTCGAGTATCTTGTAAGGCGATGATAGCTAGGTTCACCTATCCCTGCTACGCGCGCCCAAGTATATAAGGCAAATATATATTACACATAGTACAAACACGAGTTGGGATTGCTGTTAAAGGCAGCAACACGGAAACGATTTTCGATCGCATTGCGATTACGTCGGGGCTATGTGTACACAGCGTACGCACGAAAAATAACATCTTGCTCGAGCAGGCCCCGGCAACGATGCATCTGCAGCTTGCGGCTATGTGTTAAAGACTCCACTCGCTCGTTTGATCATTTTCTCAACGCTATAATACAACTAGATGTGCAAAGAGACGAGTGATTTAAACTTATACGCAGAGATCATCCGACTCCGAGGCTCGCGCCAATGGATAAAAACGCATAACTCTTATTATCTTGTTTAATAAACTTTTCGACTTACTACTAAACTCGAGTACAAAGAAAAACTTGTAATGCGCGCACGTGCGCAACCAGATCTAGACGTTCTGTGTATGTATAATAATCTACCACGAGCAGCGTCAGCGGCGCAAAAAAAAAGGCGAGAAAACAGAAGACGTACACGGAGTTTCGAGCCTGAATGAAGCTGGACAGAGGCGTGTGCGCTGCAGCAGCACGAGACTGTATATATACATCCCTAGAGGCTATACATTTGCTCTCGCTAAAGCTCGACTTTGCCGCTGCCGTTGCTTCTGTATTACCCGTCGCGTATGCACGCGGAGCGCGTACATAGTAACGTAGCAAAAACACCTTAGCCGGGTTTCTCTTAGCATCCCGTAATGTTGCTTATAAGATGAAATCAGAGGAGAAATAGCGAGGCGCGCTCCGGAGATGCCCCGCGGACGATCGAATCCAATTACTGCGCGCTGCCTAGTGCGCGAGGACTATTGCATATGGATGCGAGCCGCGTCGAACATACCAAAGAGAAAGAGAGAGAGAGAGAGAGAGAGAGAGAGAGCCGAGCGTAGGAAGAAAAAAATGGTATTTCGCAGCCATAGCCGCGAGCGACTTCGCTTAACTCGCCTCTCGTTTTGCTCGACGATAGCTTTGGGCTTTGTGCTGCGCGCGCTCTGCTTTTTACGATATA